CTCCGTTGACTCCTCGACCTAGCCCTTTATCTTTTGTCAGATCACTTCGACCTTGAATCTGTTGTTTGTTGAAGTCATATTGTTGACATGTGGCAACCATCGAAGGCTCTCTTAATGTTGATATGACCTAAATATAACTAAGATAACTTTTGGCCTATACAGTAGTTTTGTGAGTGAGAAATTTCTTTTTGAAAATTTTGATTTAAAAAATTTATTTTCGAATTTTTTTCAAAAACTTGCAAAATTTCAAGGACAAACACATTTTTTTTTTGAAAAATAGGACAAAAAAAATTATGGACAAAGGAGGCCATAAATTCCAGTAATAGTATTTTCTCCAAAGAAAAAGTAAAAAGTTGTGTGTGACTCTACTTCTAATGAGAGTTTTCCAACTTTTTCGTCAAAATAGAGAAATACTTTTTACATAAACCTGGCCAATCACCATAACTCTCCAAAAAAAAAAAACATTTTAATTTAAATAAGTATTATTTTTAATTTTTGAAAAACTTATTCAAACAGTCAATTGGTTTTGTGGATCTTTACAAACTTGTTTTTAGTTTTATGACCCTAACTTTTTTTTTTTTTATACATGGGAAATTTACTTTACACAGAGATTTGTCTTTCACACATGAGAGATCTAAAAAAAATTTATTTTCTTAATTTTAAAATTGAAAAAAGGCACGATGTACAAATAGCACATATGTGATTTGCATCCTCGTACGATTGATAAAATGCAATAATATATATATATATATATATATATATATATAAAAGTTAATGCATCGATTTGTATTGTTAAGCGTAAATGAATAAATTATCAAGCACGTTGAAGTAAGAAGTAGGAAATGTAATTTCTCATTACTGCAATTTGCTCATACTTATAGTGTGATGGATCATCTTAGAAATCCATCAGTAACAAAGGAACTAACCATTTTGTCACTTAACATCATTCAATTAAATTCCGATTAACTCAAAAATTAAATAAGATAAGATTTATATATCCTGCATCGAACATTTGATGTGGCATGCCATAATAATTTTTCAGGCCTATTTCTAAGTTCTAATTAAGAAAAAACAAAATGAAATACAATCAGAACAAAATAGTGTTGCTTACTCGAATAATGTTTATATATTAAGCCAATAAATATTACTCCGGCAATTATTAAAGTTGGACTAAGATACTATCAAATTGTCAAGTTATTGTTCCAAAACAAAATTTTAGTGAGAATATTTGATAGTCAAATCTAATAATTTAACTTCCTTAATTAAATTAGGACATATATTTATGTCACCTATATCACACGACATGGCATCCTTCATCAATCTAGCTCAAATTACATAAATATAGAGGAATCAGATCATAAACATTAACATTTTAAATACTTGTTAAATTGTCATTATAGTTTAACATGCGATAGCAGGTTAATTATTATCTTTTATCAAGTTACTAACCAATATTTATTATAAAAATTTATTAGAGATTAACTTATAAGTAATCTAATTATATAAATATATTTTAAACCATTAATGCATATAACTTAAACTCCAATATAACCAGTGATTTATATTTATTATTAATTAGTTTATATTTATTTTTTTATCATTTCTTTACCAAACCAAAGTCAAATTTATGTGCCTGTAATATTCCGATTTTAAAAAAACATAATGTGGCACCTCTTGCAAAATAAGAACAACCATTTATATTTTCTCTTTATTTTTGGGTACCCTTTTCGCCTTATTAATCTATTTAACATGTTTTATCAAGTTTGAGAATAAAAAGAAAATGAAAGATAAAAAAATTGTCTTTCACTTTTCAATATCTTTCCTTTTTCGAGAACTATTTATTTTACACTTTTTACCGTTTTATTTTCGCTTACATGAAATTTATGCAATCTCTTTAATCATGCTTGCTATATATACATTTTTGTTTTCTCACTCGCTAAAAAGGAAAAGAAAATTAATTCCGAGAACAACTGAATAGAGTGAAGTCAATTATTGTGTATCGTTTCTACCACATAGATTTGAGATTGATCATCATTTCTTTTGTTTGTTCCATCATGAAAACAATGTTGCTTGCTCTTCTTGCACTTTGTATCTTGTTGGAAGGACTTCATTTATTAGTGTCTGAAAGCTTCCTGCAGTTTTGATCGTTTTTCTTATTTTGTTTTTCAGGATATTATTAAAGAATTTGGCTGTGTGATTCTTTTTGGTGATCACAGTAAAACCTATGGTAGGGGCTTCTTCTTCTAAGACGAAAAGACGACCAGAAGATGATTTCTTTGATTTTGTCATATCACGGTTTATTAAAGATGTTTTTGATGAGAACCCATTTAAAAACCAGGTATTTTCATTTATCTACTTTATTATTCCTTTTTTATTTTGTGTGTGTGTGTTTTGCTTCCAAAGAGTTTATCTTTCTTAAAGAATTTGATAAGATGTGGTTGCTTTTCAAAAACTTATAAAATAACGTTTCTCCAATGTTGCCAAAACACTAAAGGGCTGCTTGGCTGGTACAATAAGGGATAATAATAATCCCGGGATTAGATGCAAAATTATTTTATCTCGCATTTGGTTGAATTTTTGAGTTTGAGATTAGCAATCTCATAATTAATTTATATAATAATTGTGATATTATTCTATTGGGTGGGATAATAATCTCGGGATAAAGCACTACAATGACAAAAATGCCCTTTTAAGGCTTTTCCCCGATGTCCTTTAAAAAATTTGAAGTTGAAATTAAAATAAAAGTTTACCCCAATTTATCTAGTATATTTATCAAACACATTTTATTTTATACCCGGCCTGTATATCTCATGTTTAGTCTGATGAACCAAACATCTTACTAAAAATATTTCCACTAAATAATTTCACGACTATTTAACTCCCGTATTATAATTCTGTTATTACAATCCCATAATAATATATTTCCCAACCAAACGACCCATAAGGTTGCCCCCAATAGTCTATAATCGATATACATGAAAAACTTTATCATGCTTAATGAAATTATATTTTTATCATTAATCATTGATTTTATGCACTTTATTTACTATTTCACAACACATAATAGGTTAAGAACATATAATATGCTTTTATCGTGCTCGAGGATTAGAAAGAAAAGTCAATTATGATATTTTGAGATTTATTGATTTCTTAACAAAAAATTATATTTTATTTTCTGAAAGAGTTTTTATTGATTAATAGAGCAATTCGATGTAAATTCGAGTGGAATTCACAAGACGATGACGATCTCTCTATTTATGCATATAAACACAAACTAAGAACTCGTTTGGTCATAAATTTTGGTTATTTTTTTTTAAACAAAAAAATTAAAAACATTATTTGTTCATGAAATATGATTAGTTTTTTTTAAAAAATTAATCTTTTACAAGTTTTCCAAAACTAGTTTAAGGTAGTTTTTGGGTGAAATTTTTTATTCCACTTACAAAATTTTAACTTTTTTTTTCCAAATAAAATACATATCCAAAAAGAACTTTAACTTCCAAAAATTATTTTTCAACATAACTTTCATTTATTTCCTCCAAAATTCCACCAAATTTATATACAAACCCTAACTAAATTTGGCTTCTTTCAATTTATTTTTAGCGTCTTTCAGTTCAATAGAGGGGTTCTGTATAAACTATGTTGTGATTCACAAGAACATGATAAAATAAGTATATTATAGTATGTACTTGTTCTGAAAATTTATTTAAATATCTAAGCTAGCGTTTGGCCATAAATTTCCAAATTTATTCTGAAAAATCTAATTTGGGTGAAGTTTGGTTTGAACATGAAAATGTGTTTGGACATCTGTTTTGGGTGAAGTTTGGTTTGAAAAAACATGAAACATGACTTATACCCACAAGTTCTAAAAACTATCACAAATACCCAACAATTCCGTTATCAATAACATTCATTATATTATCGCAAACCATAGTCATGAATATAAATAAATTTGATACAAAATTATCATTTTTATAATGAACTACATGATACACAATCAGATGACCGAGAAGACGAAACACCACCGTTACAAAATAATAAATGGTGAGCTCTTTTATAAAATACAAAAGTTTGGGGCAATTTTTTAAAAATATAATAGTGATATTTTGGCCCAAAGCCAGCTATTGAGCTGGGTTTGAGATTTGGGATTTTGCCAAAATATAGGCAAAATCTATGGCCAAACATGTGTTTGCCAAATAAATTCAAGTTTATTTTGGCAAAATCTATGGCCAAACGGATCCTAAATTTAGCGACCTTTTATCTCCCTATCTCTTATGAATCAATTGTATTTACGAAAATTTATTTTGTAAATTCATTGATACAACTGCACATAATACAGACTAATTGACCAGTTCTTAAATATAAAAAGGAATTTCAATGAATTAATATAGTGACCAAGATATTATAGATTTAATTTTAGTATATTAGGAGTTTTAATTTTATTTGAAGCTTTCTAAAAAGGAAAAAACCCGACAGAAAGTTGAATGAGTCGCTCATCCAACCAATAAGAAGTCCTCTTATCGCAACTGCCAGCTAACAGTAGGGATTACATCAGACCACGTCAAGTGGGACCCTCTCCCTCCCTAATCGAACGGCGTATATTTTGCTCCGTAAATCATCTTAGGGCTTTGGCTTTGCTTACACACACAAAATCCCAAAACCCAAATTTTTACTTCTATAAGGCAAAAAAAAACCTTCCCAATTATTCTTCTTCTGCAATTTTGCAGTTTAAAGCTGCCCCTATATTTTTCCCCTATATCTTTTTCTCCTCCCTCTTTCTTCCTTTTCCGGCCTTGCCGGCGGCGATCCCTTCGTTTCCCGTCGGATCTCCGACTTATCCACCTTCCCTCTCCTCTCTTTATCATCTATCCAGAAAAAAAGAAAAAAAGCTAAAAAGAAAATCTATTGGAAAAATTCAAAATTTACTAGGGTTTCAGTATCTTCTATCTCAAAATTCTCAATCTCATCGAGTTTGATTGATATCGGCCTTTTATTTATATGAGATTTTGTATCTGCGAATAAAAAGAGGAGAGGGAAGTCAGAAAAAAAAACAAAAAAATCGGAAAAAGTTTGAAAAAGAAAATTATCTTTATTATTTTTTTTTTGTTTTTTTTTGTGTTGATTTGAGATGGCACAGGTTCAGGTGCAGCAGCAGCAGCCACAGGGTGGTGTGAATAATGCTGGTGGTGTGAACAACCAGTTTGTGACGTCACTGTACGTGGGTGACCTTGATGTCAATGTGACCGATTCACAGCTGTATGATCTGTTCAATCAGCTGGGGCAAGTTGTTTCGGTTCGGGTTTGCAGGGACTTGACTAGCCAACGGTCGCTCGGTTATGGTTACGTCAATTATGGGAACCCTCAAGATGGTTCGTATGTTTGACTTAGTTTTGTTATGTGTTAGCCATATCTTTGTTTAGCCACATGAATTATTAGGATTCATATAGATGACTCCAATTAGCTTGGCATTGATGCGCAATTGTTATTGTTGCTGGTTTTTGGGGTTCCTTGTATGAGAAATTGTTTGAACTAGAAATCGCTATTACGAATTGTTTGATGGCGTGCATTGAACTTCAGGAAATGTTGTGAGTTGTGAGTGGAAAGTGTAAAGCAATGTGTTTTGGTCGTGAATTTCTTTAAAGTTTTCGTTGAGGTGTCTATTGTTCACACGATTTTTATTGTTAAGTGTTTTGTGGTCCAGATGATCTANGGGAGGTAGGTGAGGGGGTGTGCTGGTCCCTTTTTCATGTTTAAACGTAACTTTCTAGATGTGTCAACTTCCAGCCACTTTGATAAGAAAATGTCATATGTTGGCCCGGACACCACCGTCATAAAAAAGAAGAAAGTGTATTCTTTTATGTGCGCATTGCTTTTTAGAAAACTATTTGGAAAAATAAGCTGCTGATTATCCTATTGTATTGCAACTGTAATTGTTCTGCCCACGGTGGCTCCTGCTTTGGCTTAGCAGCCTATAATATGTGAGGCGACAAAGCAACTTAGTCGGACAAAAGCAAAAGTTACAACAGGCTGGATATTTGGTATTTTCAACTATAAGATTAGGTTGTTTCTGTGTGAACTATAAGTCACGGCTTCGAGCCATGGGAGCAACCACTAATGCTTGCATTAGGGTAGGCTGTCTACATCACACCCCGTGGGGTCCGGACCTTCTCGGGACCCTGGTTGAACGCGGGATGCTTTGTGCACCGGGCTGCCCTATCTAGAAGATGAAATTGCAAATCTTGGATATTCAATTTCCCGTAGACTTTGAGCTCTTTTCTTATTTGAGCGCAATGAGATTAATTTTCAGTTTGACTGGACACCTACTTTTGCATGCATTGATGCGTGCCTGAGTCCCCGATTTCATGGTTCTGAATTGCATGTGTTGATATCCGTGGTGTGGGTGGTGTGGGGGCTAGTTTGTGCGCTTATTATGCTATCATGTCAACCATAATTTTCCAAGTGGAATGTAGTGCAACTTTAACTACTAAATCGTTTTCTTATAGTATTTTGCCTGTACATATACTAGTCATCAAATTTTTCATGTCCAAAGCGCTACAAAATGTTAATCACCATCACCAATAGCAATACAGAAAGACAACATGCTGTTAGCAAGTTATCCGTCTCTTTTTCTTTTCGATTTTTTACTTTGTTTCTTCGACTATTTTATTATATTTTTTCTTTGGTGCCTCATCAACAGTTCAATTATCTTATTTGTAACAGCTGCAAGGGCGTTGGAAGTGCTGAACTTTACTCCTCTCCATGGAAAGCCAATCAGGATAATGTACTCAAACCGAGACCCAACTATACGAAGAAGTGGCAATGGGAACATATTTATTAAGGTCACTTTATTGAATTTATAGAGAGTTTTTCTTGTTTGATGGATTGGTTAACTTATTTATAGCTTCAAAATATTCTCAAGTCTCAACCTACTTTTTTTTTGCCTTTTGTTTTGCAGAATTTGGACAAGGCAATTGACCACAAAGCATTACATGATACATTTTCTGCATTTGGAAATATTCTCTCTTGTAAGGTAGCTGTGGATTCATCTGGTCAGTCCAAGGGCTATGGGTTTGTGCAGTATGACAGTGAAGAAGCTGCCCAAAAAGCTATTGAGAAACTGAATGGTATGCTGCTGAATGATAAGCAAGTATATGTAGGACCCTTCGTTCGTAAGCATGAAAGAGATATGGCTGTGGATAAGACAAGATTTACCAATGTATTCGTGAAGAATTTATCTGAATCAACGTTAGAGGAAGAGCTCCGGAAAATCTTTGGTGAATTTGGTGCTATTACTAGCGTCGCAGTTATGAAGGATGAAGATGGAAAATCCAGGTGCTTTGGATTTGTCAACTTTGAGAATGCTGAAGATGCTGCTAGAGCTGTTGAAGCTCTGAATGGTTACAAATTGGATAACAAAGATTGGTTTGTAGGAAGAGCTCAGAAGAAATCAGAGAGGGAAATGGAATTAAAACATCGGTTTGAGCAAAGTGCCAAGGAGGCAGTTGACAAATCACAAGGTTTAAATCTATACATAAAAAATTTAGATGACAGCATTAGTGATGAAAAGCTTAAGGAATTGTTCTCTCCGTATGGCACAATCACTTCATGCAAGGTAAGCTGCATTATTTTTCTTTCAAAAATTTATACAAGCCTCCAATTCTGATATATGCAATTTGATTGGAAGTGTGGTTGTTTTTTGATGTTTGCTGCTATACAGGTTATGAGAGATCCTAGTGGGGTAAGCAAAGGATCAGGATTTGTTGCATTCTCAAACCCTGAAGAGGCTTCAAGAGCGGTGTGTTCCTTAACCATTCTAATACAGTTAGTAAAAGTCAACTGAACATGGACAGGGTAGAGTTTGAACTTTTAACTGTTTTTCTTCACAGCTTTCGGAGATGAATGGAAAGATGGTTGTTAGCAAACCTCTGTATGTTGCCCTTGCGCAACGCAAGGAAGAGAGAAGAGCAAGGTTACAGGTATTTTTATTTGTCTCTCTTTTTTTGGGCTTAAACAATTGAAAAATTATGATCTTCGTCTCTATTTAATGCGATCTTCTTTTTGAATTTCTTTGTTATCCAATTTTGACTTATTGGCTTTGGCACTTCTGATTTAATTAGTAACCAAATATTTCACCATCTTAAAGATTTGTGTTTGTTTATAATTCATTGAATTTCTTTTGAGTCTTTCGAAACTGACCTAACAATACCATATAAAAAAGAGAAAGCCTTTAGTTGGTTGTTACAACTGCTGATTTTTCTAGAGAAAATGTGTGATGAAGGTGGGATGAAAGAGCAGTTGGCGGAGGAGAGGGTTGGGGAGTTGAATTGAGGTGGCTGGGTGCCAGGACATAGAGGGATCTTTTGGATATAAGCTCTGCTCCATGCTTGCTAGATATATTGATTAGGATGCGTTTACTAACTTACCTATTTACTAAATCCTTTACATGATGATACTAATACAGTTTTATGTTTCATTTGTTTTAAATTGTAGGCTCAGTTTTCTCAGATGCGTCCAATTGCAATGGCATCTTCAGTTGCTCCTCGAATGCCGATGTACCCTCCTGGCGGTCCTGGTCTAGGTCAACAAATATTCTATGGCCAGCCACAACCAGCTATGCTTCCCCCACAAGTAATAAATCGTCGTGTATATTCTGTTTTAACCTTTGAAACTTAGGGATTCTCATTTTTTGTTATTAAGGGTCGTTTGGTAGAAGGTATTAGAAAAAACAATGCAAGTATTAACTTTGTGCATTTTTTCAACCTATGTATTACTAATATTTTTATTAGTTATACATCCTATTTGGTATTATTCTATGTATAACTAATACACAGCAAACCATGGTATTAGCAATGCAAGGGTTTTTAATATTTGCAAAGCATTGTTAACGACATAATTGCCCCTCAAAGTATACAAAGTTAAGAATGTGGTGGGTATTTTTGTAAACAACTAATTTTTTAAGAAATTATGCAATGCTTTAATACACCCAACCAAACAGTGGATAAGCAATAATCTCTGCATAACTAATCTCAGCATTGCTAATACACCCTATCCAACACTATTTTTATACATCCTACCAAACAACCCCTTAGTTTCTTACTTTGACAAGTGGTTTTCAATATTTTGCTAACTGACTGGTAGTCTCAAAAGTTGTATGTCCTGGATTGTCTTTTCTGTGGAGTTGGTATCTTGTGCGATGGATGTGGTTGGAAATTCGTGGAGATTAGAGGATACGAGTTTAAAATTCCTCATTTTGTAATGAGAGCTCTTAAGATCCTCTACAAATTTTTCCGAAACAGGCAAAACATATTTTTGATATGTGGATCATGCTGATACTTTGATCCTTTACTCTGCTGATGTTGTCTGTGCCTCCAGCAAAATAGTCATAGTTGTTAGATACAGAGATCAGTGACCTTGCAGTCTATTCTTCCCGACATTGTTTGGATATTGTCTGTGATCTTCTTCACCGGATGTTTATTTAGCCTTCAAGTCAGATGGCTTTACAGTTGTAATGTGAGTAGGAGGCTTATTAGGCAGAGAATATTGATGAGTTGCTGATGCCTGGTCCCGTAGTAGTTATAACTCTATAGTTTGGAAGGTAATCTGAAAAGAGTGGAGGGAGGGAAATATAAAGAGTGAAAGAACATTTCAAAAAAGGATGAGAGTAAAAAGAAACTCCTACAGTTCTTGTGTCTCACTTCATTTTTCTGTAGTCAAATTGCATTTATATATTGCCCTTCTTTGAGTTATAGTGGATCCATATTGGCTGACTGGAATTCTTTATCCGAACTAATTTTGGATTGAGGCATCGCTGATAGAATTTAATGGTGCCCATCTACTTTTCTTTACTTGTCAGGCTGGTTTTGGATATCAGCAGCAACTTGTACCTGGAATGAGGCCTGGTGGGGGACCCATGCCTAATTTCTTTATGCCCATGGTTCAGCAAGGGCAGCAAGGTCAACGTCCCGGAGGCCGACGCGGAGGTGCTGTTCCATTGCAGCAGGGCCAGCAGCCAGTTCCATTGATGCAGCAACAGGTTTGTGGCAAGTTTTGCTGTCTCTCTGTGTGATGCGTTTATAGAAGTGCTCAAAGTTTGCTTTCATGGCAGATGTTTCCAAGGGGGCGTGGATATCGGTATCCTCCAGGACGTGGCCTCCCCGATGTAGCTTTTCCAGGTGTAGGTGGTGGCATGTTCTCTATCCCATATGATATGGGTGGCATGCCTGTTCGTGATGCAGGAATTGTTCAACCTATTCCAGTAGGGGCTTTGGCTACTGCTCTGGCTAATTCTTCTCCAACAGAGCAAAGGACGGTATGGTTCTTTCTTATAGAAGCTAAAACCGATCCCCAAGAACATGAAAGTAATTGTTTCCCAAGAACATGAAAGTAATTGTTTCCCAAGAACATGAAAGTAATTGTTTCCCAAGAACATGAAAGTAATTGTTTCCCAAGAACATGAAAGTAATTGCCGCTTCAGCTTTCCTCTTCTGGTTTCTGTTTCATCACCAGAAATATTAGCTTGATCTTCCTTCCCAAAGAGATGAAATTTGAAAGAATTTCTTGATCAAAATAAATTCTGAAAGGGGTAGGAAAACAGAGGTTCTATCGTTAGAATACTGAAGACCTTAAATTTCACCTTTCAGCCCCTAGCTTTTGCGGTATCTGAATTAATCTTTCCTATTAAACTGAAATAGTATAAAGAGCTTGATAAATATAAGTTAGCATGTCCATACAGTATTAGCTCTACTTGAAGGTAGGCTTGGTTCCTATAAACTATGGGTCAGAAGGTATTATGCTGGTCTTTCATTTTTTCTTAAACATTCTCCCTTTGGGTGTGTTTGGTACGAAGGAAAATGTTTTCCAATTTTTCAATGTTTGGTTGGCTTAAATGTTTTGAAAAATATTTTCCCCTATCAACTCATTTTCCAAAACCTTTTTTCAACCTTCCCCACCTTATTCCCCATCCCCACCACCCCACTCCCACCCCCACACCTNNACTTACCCACCCCCACCCTTTTTTTTTATTTCAACAAATGAGTATTTTCTTTTTCATGATATTAACAAAATGAGTATGTTTTTTTCATGATGTAGAAAAAGTATTTTCTTTTTTTTTTCCAATAAAATGATTACTTTATTTTCATGTTGTAGAAAGATTACTTTCTTTTTCAATATAAAAAAGAATATTTTCTTTTTAGTTATAGAGCATTAATTTCAACGTCGTTTTGCGTAAAAATGTAAAACATCACACTAGTTCCTTTGGGTTTGTGTGAATTTTTAGAAGAATAATTAAATTGTTGAAATCCTGAATACATTGGGTATTTGGGGGGGGGGGGGGAGAAGGAACATGGGGACTTGTGGAAAAGGGGTGAGGAGAGTAGCATTAAAAAATATTTTCTATTCTCTAGCCGAACACTAGAAAATATTTACCGGAATTTTTTTTTTCGCTCACCAACCAAACAAGGGAAAATAAGTGATAAAACCACTCATTTTCCATGAAAACGTTTTCTAGGACCCTTTATCTTCCTTTGTTCACCTGAAGAGTATGAATTAGGAATTGGCAAAGCTCAACAATATCAGTAAATTGTCAAATGCATACTAATACCTGATCATTCCAAATTTGATGAGAAATATTTAATTATTTTCAAAGCTCCAGCCTTTATTTTGACGTATATTTACCCAGAAGCACGACTAATTAATTCTACCATTCTCTCGAACTTTGATTTAAAGCTGACCCAATCTACAAAATGTGGCGGAGGGAGTATTATTTGATTGCTTATTGAGGACATGTACTTTTTTACAGCACTTTACGTTTGGAGGATGAGGTCTGAATTCTCATTGAATTTTTTGAGATGTCCTACTGCTCTCGTGTTTTTTTTTTGTTTTAAAAAATAAAGTCCTATAAAGCAAAAGGTGCCTTCAATTGTATGCAACTTTTCTTGGCACGACTAAGTACCAACAGAACAACAGAGGTTGCAATGCTGACTGTGTGGACTATGCTTTAGTTTCCCCTTTGAACAATTTATATGGTTTGTCTGCAGATGCTAGGTGAAAACTTGTACCCCTTGGTCGAACAGTTGGAGCCAGAAACGGCTGCCAAGGTGACTGGCATGCTCTTGGAGATGGACCAGACTGAGGTATTGCACTTGCTTGAGTCGCCTGAAGCCCTGAAAGCCAAGGTTGCAGAGGCTATGGAGGTTCTGAGGAATGTTTCTCAGCAGCAGTCGAGCAATCCGGCCGATCAGTTGGCTTCATTGTCACTGAATGATGGTCTGGTTTCTTAAGTTCAAAAATATTTAATGCTCTTCACCGTCAAGTACTATTCATCTCTAGGGTGATTTCACTTTTGGATTTTCTTCACCTAGACAATCTCTTAGACTTCATTGCTTGACTAGCATATTGTTGGGGTTGCATTTCGTTTCAGTTTTTGGAGTTTCTCAGACAACTGGTTTACCAGAACCTTTGCGCTGGTACTTTTATTTATGGCTTTTGACAACTTTGGATTATTTCTTTGGTTTACTTTTTTGGTACATATGCTTGTGCAAGGTTTTCTCGTTGCTAAGCAGGCATCTTCATCAGATGCTTAGAGGGAGTTTTCTTTTTAATTTATTTATATTATTACATTAGGGGAAAGGGAAAGGAAACGGGGAAGGTGCTGGTCAACTAAGCTGGCCTCTACCCCAATGCTTAGTGGGGTGTTAGTAAACTTGAGATCATGTTTTCCATCACCTGAATTTTCTTGTGCTTTTTCAGTTTAATTGCAGATGCAAGCTGAAAATTTAACCCTAACATTCTACTTATGTTATATTGAGGAATGGAAAAATAAAAAGAGAAACATTCTACTTGCAATTCTTATTGACACCTTTAAATAGTTACTGATAGTGATCTTTGAATCTATATTATCATTTCAACATATTTGTATTTCCATTCTTCATAAGTTTTGATTAAATCTCGAGCGATGTACATGTTAAACGTACTCCCTTTGAAAGAATGAGGACGTAAAAATAAAAGGGCTCTTGTTAAAAAAAATAGTTTTTCCTATTTCAATCCCACAAAAAAATTGCATTTTCATCTCATCTCAAGCTTGAGAACCTGGCCAAATACAAAATCCTATTTTACGTTTCACAAATACTCCAATCTCCAGCACCGTAGTCCTTTCCTTCTCTAAGACGAGGAAAATAATTTCATTACCATCTTCCATATATTCATCCTTCTCAAATATGGCAGGATTCCATTATTTGCAAATACCTGCTCATATTATGATGCTTTTTTGCTTCACTGCCAAATTCTTTCAGTTCCATTGTATTGAATAACCACTGCCTTCTCTAAGTAAGAACGATTAACCCAGTACAATACTCAAGGACGGAAGGAGAGGAAGACAAAATCACCTGTTCCCTCTTACATATACATTTTACAAGTGATAGATTAGAAAGGACTAATATTATTTGCCTTTTCCTTCTTGTGCGTACAATGGAAAAGAAAAAACAAAAAGATACTAGACAAACTAGACTTTCCTGAAATATTGATCACTAATTAGATCAGTTCCGAGTAAGAAAGAGTACACATATTCACAAGAAGTAAATATTACCATAGAGAAACTGATCAAAACTATTACAAGTTGGTTTCTCTATTGTCGAAAGGCAGTATTATAATCCATTTGCAATCTTGCTCAGCCTCCTCTAACCCCACCTCCACAACTTTATTCAGCAGCTGAAGGATCAAGATTGGTACACACTTTAAGCATCTTGCGTAACACCACGCCTGTGTCTTAGTCCTACATCAACAACCTCTTGGACATCCCCATTCACTATAGGAATCTCTCCCTCTCTGGACAACTCTACTTCATTTTGCCTTCGCTCTACCTCTTCCCCAAAATTATGAAGTCTACGGCCAATCAAATAACGGTCATCACGTATAGAATTGTGGAGATTGGTGAACCATACGTGGAAACGCTTAGCACAGAAACATAACAGACTGAAGCCAAGGCAGCCAAGCCAAGCAAATCGGTAAACGGCAGAGTTGACAAGCAAGGGGTAACCAAATATTGGGAATACACCCTTGGCTAAAACATATGGAACACACAATGCCGTAAGCAGCTTCATGATAATAGGAAGGACAATCTCCCGAAGCACCCAAAAGCCTTGCAACCTAGAGAAACCGTTTTCCCTCACCCTCTCAAATTTCAGCCGCCAGCTCTCATCCACCAGTGGCATCATATGATCTAGCATAACCTGCTTTGCGGAAATCAAGTCAAACAATTAGTAAGGTATATAAAATGCTAATGTGAAATAACTATCATGTACAGTTACACAAAGAAGGGGATACTAGTCGCCAAACGACTTATCCTCATTAGTGAACCGTCTCTGCATGGAATGCTAAACATGGCTACTAGAAATATTAAATATTCTTGTTATCGCTTCAATTCAACCAGGGATATGATTTTTTTCAAATGGCTGCAGCATCAAGATCTAGATTTTTCTGAGCAAGCTCAACCAGTTCACAGTTTAAAGTTCAGCATGGAATAACAGGTCCAAGAGAAGGACTATTTTGTTGTATTTACAATTGCTTTTATTCTTTTATTGAATTGATCCCACCAGAACAAAATTCACTTGATCGATACATGTACATACACCTAGCTGTTCAATATCAGAATCTGACAAATCGAACCAAACCAGTTTTACTAATAGATGCCCTAATATGGTACAAAAGTTTGCTTTAGCTAAATGATCCAATCAAAGGAATAATTGGAACAATGGAATCGAACTGCACCTACACTTGACACCTATCGTAATGATAAACGGCTTGTCTCACGAATTTTCATAAAAAGGACTCAATCGTATGGATTTGTAAAATACAGGATTGGATTAAACAAAGTGGTATNAAAAAAACCCAAAATATTCTTTTGAGGAGGTTACAAGATACCACAAAAAGGCAAAGGACATGCTCCAGGACGAATGCGTGTAACACCAAAGATTCAGATTCAGTGAGGAATTAAGAAGACAGGTTCAAGCCCTGCCTATCAACTAGTGTAGATAAACATGTCAAACCAAAAGCTCATAATGCAAGTAGAGTAGATAAACTATATGACACTTACCAGCCTGGTCCAGATCTTTAGAAAGATTAGTCCTAAAGCCCAATCCTGATAAAGAAGGAAGACCGGGCTTTCGTCAATGGGAACTCGCATTGGCACAATGACCAGAAGTTCAAAAAGCAGCCCAATTAACACAGGGATAATAAGAATCTGGAAACAGAACCAGCAAAACAATTAACATTATGAAAAAAGAATTCAGGAAGCAAGTATTGAACCAAAATGAAAGGTGCCATACCCATATTGACAATAGTGCAGAACTCTTCAGAACAATGACGCACCATTTCCAAATTTGGTTCATCAAAACTGTAACCCTCCTAGTCCTAATTTGATCAATTGAGTACCTCACTCCAGCAATCGCAGTCCAGATGGCATAACTTCCAATTACAAATGCATACAAATCTGAAAAGTCAAAACAACAAACGGATCAGCATTTTTATTGTCGGGGTGAAGGGCAGAAACCAACTTGGACCTGATTGACAGCAATACCATTGCACTTGATTCCATGTGTTATTGGTAGCAGCGGGAGGGAATTGAAGAGCGCACGTCCAAGTGAAATCGGTACAATTATGAGGGCAGAATTAAAAAGGAGGAGAGTCATCCAAGCCACTACCAACAACAGAACGATACGGAGCACAAAGGCGTACCTGCTAAAGAATGTTCCAAACAACATAAGACTCTTGCTAAAAGTTTTTTGACGAATTTAGACAGAGTATCACTATTTATGACTTAATCACTTGATGCTACAGAAACTAGCAACAAGAGCTATGATTGAAGGCAATAAGCAGTGTAACACAATTTCGTCCAACAAAACAAAATTAACAAGCAAAGGGAAGTTGGTCACATATGGGAGTCCAGATGAAAAAATGAAGGCCCTAAAGATCATACTTTTTTGTTTAGAAAAATCACCCTACCCTGACAAATATCATGACCCAAAAAGGAAAACTATTTACCTACTCCAGGGATAAAAAATGTGTGCAACCTTCCCAAATAGAATGAATATGACACTCATGTAGGAAAAAAACCCAAATATAAGAAACAGCGAACCAACAGGAGACTTAATCACACCACCATGATTTATGCTTAAATAATGAGTCTAGATACCACGATAATCCCTTTGTGGAACTGATTGCACAGTCTACACATAAGTGATTAGCTAGCTAAATACCACAGTCCACAACAAACACTAGTCTATATACAATTGCCAAATGTACTATGAAGATTGCCGTTAATGAAGCTCATCTCGGAGTGTTTTTTATTTGATTTGCCTCACATTTGGAAAGAGGCTAGTTAATATTCCGCTTCACTTCCAATCTATATGACATATTTTCTGATTTGCGAAGCCAAAATGTTTGACACTGTTACCTGATAATACTATTTATTCTATACAACTTTCAGAGTTTCTAAGAATTCGAAGTTCACTTTACTATGCACATATTAAACTTTAAAGTGATGTTTTACCGATCAAGCTAACGACCATCCTTTCAACATTTTCTAGTACAATTATTCTAGGAATCTTTGTCCAATCAGACACTAAATGAGACAGAACAAAGAGGACACTCATAGAAAATAAAAAAGAGCCTGATGTTCATTATCTCCTGAAGCAAACCAGCACTAAATGGCTTTAAACATACTAGTGAATGACTCAATTTGCCAACATAAGAAATGTTTAATTTGTTCATTGTCCAATAAAAACAGGATTAGTCATTGTGGAGCATAGTTTAACTTACTCGGTATCCGCTTGTTCGTCAGTGTCATACTCTTCCACAAAGTTGGTATTAGCTGCTGCATGCCTAGCTCTATTATCAGGAGCAAAGCCAGCCAAGGCCCGATCTGGTACACCATGCGCGGCTTGAAACCACTCCACCCTTCCTTGGTCGACGNACCCTTCCTTGGTCGCCATTCCCATTCTCTTGTCCACCATTATCCTCAGGTCGGGGAAGTAAGAAATCAGTAAGACCAAGAGCCCAGCCCACTGCAGTAAACCAATAGCGGAGCAGAGACTTGATTGTTGTACGCAGCTTAAAATGCTCAATTGCAAAGGGAATACAGATTTGGAAGAGTAGCATGTCGGCAGGTATTTCAGTAAATGGATCAGATACACTGCGAAAAGAATAACAGTTCTGTAAGTTCACCAAAGGGATGAAAGCTCAAAGTTCGAATTCACATATCACATAAATATTGAAACCAAAATCAATTGGGATAGACAGGAAACAATCTTACGAGATATCTAGTGGGAAAATGGATGGAGCCATTCGCATGGCAAGTTTGACAGGCAGATACACGAGCATCACTATTAAGCTTCCATAGACTGCAACTGACAAAAGCACTCGACGAGCATGCTTATGTACAGGATCATCGATCAAATCCCGGAATGGGTTGTAATTGGGGTCTGCCGGATCTCGAAGAAAGTAAAGCACTCCATTACGCAGGACCTATAAAAA